CCTTAGAGACGAGGAAACTAAGGCACAGAGTGGTCGTATAGGAGGCTTCAGGGCTGGTAACTGGCAGCACCGGGATCTGATGCAGAAGTTCTGACTCTAGAGCCTCCAGGCTTAACCACTACACGTGCCATGCCATACACTCTGGGGAGCACCGTCACTCCAACATTCTGCCTGTTCCTTGTGAGTGTTCCTCAGCCTGCTCCCTGATCTCATAGTTTCATGTCATAATAATAACAATACTTACTGAATACTTCTGAGATAAAAACACTGGCTTAAGTGCTTTATATGCACACATTATTTAATTTATCCTCCCAATCTTTGATGTATTATTATCCCCATTTTACTGATAAGAAAGCTGAGGGTGAAAGGAGATTAAGTTACTCGCACAAGGTCAGACAGGTAGTAAAGGGCAGAGGCCATTCAAATGCAGAACTTCTAATTTCAAAGTCTGACCTCTCAAAACTACGAGAGTGGATCTCAAACTAAAGTGTACCTGGGAGATCTTTAAGAAAGCAAATTCCAGACCTCTACCACCAGATGTTGAATCAACAGATCTAGGAAAGCCAAGGAATCTGCATTTATCACAAACTTCCTAGAACTTGAGGACTCTGCCCTGCCAACCCCCCCATGCCATACCACCTCTATGACTGCGGGTCAGGCATAAACTGCTCAGTTGTGTTTTAGCCGTGGCGCCGCAGTACTGCTAAAGCCTGCTGTCCCCCGCAGGCTGAGATTACGCAGCCCCAATAGCTCCTGAGAGGTTGCCACTGTATTTGATCATTATATTGTAATTGTCCGTTTTTCTTCTCCCTGCATATTATTCTAAGTACTAAGGTGACTGTGTCAGTTTGGACATTTCTCACTCCAAGTGAAAAACCCAATTAAAACAAACTTTAGCAAAGCGGGGGATTCACTGGCTCCCTTTTGCTGAAGAGTCCAGGGGTAAACCGACCTTCAGGTACAGCTTGAGACAAAGGGTCAATTCGTGTCACAAGTAATGCATCTCTCTCCACTTTTCAGTTGGTTTCTCTCTGTGTTGGCTTCATTTTCAGGTCTAAGCAACTTCAAGCTTATATTCACATAGTTCAGTGACACTGGAGGAAAGGAACCTCATTCTCAATTGTTTTGGAAAAAAACCGAAGGCTGAGTCTCATTAGGCTGTCTTGATTTAGGTTCTCCTCCTTAAACACGGTGGCCAGAGGGTGTAGAATACTCCAGCTGGCGAAATGTCAGTCAAGTGTTCACCCCTGGAGGGTGGGGGTGGGAGCCACATGGTTGAGAATGAGGGAGAGATAGCTCTCCCAAGAGGAACGATGAAAGGAATAAAACAAGTGGATATTAGGCAGGTAAAAGCTACCCAAGTCTAGCACTAGAGCAAGATGTCTGGTCCTTGGAGCAAACGTGGCCAGGCCGCAGCTGATTCTTCTCAAGGGAAGATGACCCCTCAGGATTTTCCCATACCCATAACTGAGTTAGGCTGGTTCAAGGTCACTAACAGTTTGGGTACTAATAAAGCAAAACAAACTTGTCTCTTTACAAATAGAACAGAATATACAACAAAATTTTGAGGCTGAAAAGTATCTTATTGATCTTTTACTCCAGCCACTTAATTTTGACATTTAAAAAAATCAACAGAATTAACCACTATGAATTAGAAAAATCAATAAACCATCCACTGAACACACAGGAGAGGAGCAAATTTGTTGACGTCTGTAGAAACAGCTCTAGAGATTTGGAGTCTTAGGTTCTAACCCCAAACAAAGTAGCAGGTCACTTCAGCAATGTGGTTCTCACCTCCTTCCATCTGGTCATTGATGAGGCTTTTCTCTGTGACATAATATCAGACAGAGTCAGCACTAGAACCCAAGTCCTCCAACCTAGGACTCTTTTCATCTTTTCAGTTCTTTGTGGGAGCTCATGTCCTTTCCCTAGCTTGGTCCTTCTTCCTTTCCTCTTTACTCCAGTTAAACTTCCCACCAATCAAGGGTTTGCATCATCCATTTAGCTGGCATTTATTGACTATCCTCAAAATATATAAGAATGGTGAGAAGGTAACAATAAGCAAGAAACAGTTGGTGGCCTCAAACTGACAACTTGGGTGCGCTCGAGGTCCTAGGAAAATGCTACATTCCTGCTAACTCTCCCCTTTCTGCCTCACTTTCCCCTTCAACCTCGAATTTCAGAATCCTCCCCAGTCCTTCTCATCCCACTAAACCCCTTCCTTCTCAGGGAGATTGTGTGCATACAGACTCACTCCCTTTCCATGATTTCCTGCCCTACAGGCCCGAGTAACCTTTCTCAGAGCTCATTCCGCACCACCTGACGGCATCCCTTAAAATTTAACAGCAAGTGCTTAGCAAAATGATGACAAGCCTTACTGGCAATTCAGATCAGGTTATTGGGCACCATCTGCCTTCCTGCAGATTAATGGGACGAAGGAATGAATCCTTTGGGCTTTGTTTATTTTTAGATTATTGCAAAGGAAACCCAGAGGGCTGCCTCTCAATCATGTCAATCCCCACTGTAAATGAGGCCAAAATATCATGGGGACAATAAGTGACCATAAACAGATCTCTATTCACATGTAGTAGTTACGGGGAAAGCAGAGTAAAGTCTGCTTGTCCTCATGCTGTAATCCTCCCACCCCAACCCCATCCCCAGACCTATTGGAAAAATGCAAATAGACTTATAACTGCAAAGAGGTAGCTGATGGGGACTTTGCTTGGGTCACACAAGAGCAGTGAGGACACCCCATCTCTTCCACAGCCTGTATCAAATTCAGGCCAAGTCGGTGGTTGTATTTTACCTTCAATCTCAGTTCCTAAAAAAGTTGGGACTCCAGAGAAGAATCTCTGTGGTAAATACTAGACAGGTTAGGTTTGGACTTGACCAAGCTTAGAAGGATGATTCTGTAGGAGACAGGGAGGGGACTGACCATGGTTCCCACATCTGAGTTAGCACAGAACTCCTGTGGGATACTTAAAGAGGCAGATGTGTGGGCCCATTCCCAGAGACACTAAATATATCTGGGTGGACGCAGAGAATGTACTTTCGACAAAACCCTGCATAATTCTGATGTAGGGAATCACACTGGGGCCAATTTTGAGAAATTGTCTCCATGTTGTGCCCTTCCCCCAGGCTGACTTTCTAAAACTCTCCTCCGAACAGGCATTAGCTCTAGAAGGCTCCAGTGAAAAAGCAAACAGGTTCTTCAAGAGATTAACCAATAACTCATTAGCAATTCGTATTCCATCAGCACAGATTTGTGAGCAGATAGGTGCCCTGCAATTTGTGGGACAAGCACAGAGCTGATCAAGATGGATAAACTAGAAAGGCCTAAACATTAGCCTCCTGGGAGCAAGAATGTAAGGAAAGACTGGGAAGGCTGGGGTGGGGGGAGGAAGATGAACACACTGGGTCCTAAGGGCTTTGGAGGTAAGGATGGAGCATTGTCAGGAAAAGAGGAAAAAAGGGGAGAGAGGGAGAGTTGAAAAAGTCATGGAAAAAAACAGGAACATTTCAAATTTAATTTCTGCTACCTTCCAGTTTTTTCTAGATTGCATTTTCCAGGATTGGAAGAAACACCAAGTGTTTGATTTGCTACAGCACCAGGTAACTGGGAGAGGGGATGTCTATGTCAGCAATGTTCACATGAACACATTAATAATAAAAGTAATTTTATTATTCTAATTTTTTTGTACATTATGGAGTATAAAAATAACTTGACGATCTCTGGCAGCAAGCATTTCATTTGGGAGCATTTCAACAGTCTTCGTTATTTAATGCAATTGTGCATTACATTTTTCAAGCTCCCACTGGTGTCATGATTATACAATTATTTTATCACTAGATAAGCATGGGAGATGCTGAAGTCCAAACCCTTTGCTTCTTCTTCCAGCCTTCTGCGTGCTCATGTCCAGTGATGGGCACTCTCCCCCACCTGCAGTGACACCTCAGTGTGTTGCTGGAAAACTCCACTGGGTAGAGCATTCTTCCTTCTGTCGTATCCCGTGGTTCTAAAACTTTGGCGAACATCAGAATCAGTGGTGGGTTTGTGAAACCAGCAGCTTTCTGGGCTCACCCCGAGTTTCTGCCTCAGTCCGTCTGGTGCGGGGCATGAGAATTTGCATCTGGAACTCATCCCTGGATGCTACTGATGCTGCTGGTCCAGGACCATGCTTGAGGACCACTGGCCTAACCTGTCCACCTCCCTGTAATTTCCACTGCCTCGTCCCTAACTCCAGTTCCCAGAATGACCAAGCAAGTCTGATCCCTTTTTCACTATAAAGATCCTCGAATGTGGGGCTTCAAACATGCGGCTCCCCACGGCAATGTCAGCATCACAAGGGGAAAGGTTGGGTCAGCAGCGCTCTCCTGGCTTTATTCCCCTTTACAGTGCTGGCAACGTGCTGTGCACGCATGAAAGATCTGTTGCAGACTGGCAGGCACACAGTAATCACTATATAACTGTTGCTCATTATTCTTATTACTTCTGAGGAATAAAAATCTCACAAGATGTTTTCCTTCTAGAGGGTTTCAAGAGAAGCTGTGAATGTACTCTGATCTTGCCCTCTATGTGTCCAACCCTCATTAGGGCCTAGAATCAGGCAACAAATGTATGTTTGCCTGGGGTAGGATGTTTCTAGAATTTTCCATCCACAGCCTTGGCAGGCGTTATGTGACACTACATCTCTTCAAAGAATAGGCTCACAAAAGGAATGAAGCAATATTTTTGCCAAAGGATTCTCTTATCAAGTGGAGGGAAATAACAGAACTCGGCAGTAGGGTTGGAGAAGGAAGAGTAGGACCGTGCCCCGCAGGGGATGTGCTCCAGATATCCTGGTAGTAATTCACCCTCATTAACACCCCCAGCTGGGAAACAGTGCTCATACAAAGGGCCTGGTGTGTAAGCAGCAGCTTCTTATTCCCAGTCTTCCCGAGGGAATGGATGAGGGAACGGCCCTCCCTCTGCTCCCCTGTGTCATGGTTAGAGCTCCCACCTGAGGCGTGGCATCCATCCAGCAGTGACGCAGTTGGTTTGCACCTGTGGCTGGCCTCTGTGCTTCCCCAACTCAGTGCTTCCGTCTGAGGAAGAGGAAATAAAAAGCCCTTAAAAATGAGTAACTCTAAAAGCAAGTCATTTTTGCCTGAAAGCATAAGTAGGGTATATGAGAGCTGAATGGAAAACTTCCTTTCCGGAACCCTTCCCAGACTCAGGAACAAGTTATTCCAAAGCCATCACAGACGACTGCCTCAGCAAAGAGACAAAAACAGAAGAAGCTATGGCTGTAATTACAACTAATTACAACCCCATGATTCATTTAATCTCCACATAAGAAGTTCACCAATTGGAGAACGCCATTGATCCTCTGTGTCCAAGACAATTAAATATTTTGGTGCAGTCCAAAACGGTTACCAAGCCTTTGCCAGAATGACATTGTGTTTCAAATTTTATTTTTATAGTCTCCGAGGCATCCCAGATTTTCACAGGACATTGGAAGCTATCCATTTGTGGCACATCTGCTCCAGCATGATTTGCATATTTCAAAAATCATTAAGAAGCTAATACTAAAACCCATTTTTAACTTTCTGGTGACAAGTTGTTTCTTAACATTCAAGTGTTTTGATTTCCCTTAGAAAAATGAAAATGATTTCTTAATACCTTAGAATTTTGGTCCAGACAGTCTAGGAGGAAAGAGATTATAAGTGACGTCTCAATTTCAGGTACCTCATTAGTCAGAGGGACTTGGTTTCCAATGATTGCTCTCCTAATTTACTGGCAGCAGGCTGTTGCTCTCTTGGGGTGTTGGAGAATGCCAGATCCAGCTTCCAGCCCCGCAGGGGTTTGCAGAGGCTCCTGCCTGTCACTGCCTAAAGTGTCCCTGGGCCTGGAGAAATCACGGCAGGCAGCAGGGCCTCTACCATCTTGTAATCTAAAGCAGGTTATTGATGCCCTCAGACCCTCCACTGGGGAGAACACAGATATAAGTCAAATAATCACTCAATGTAATTAAAAACAGAGGCAAGTACAATAAAGGAGAACTTAAGGCAGAGAAACTGCCAGGTAGGTGGAGACTGGGTAGAGGGAGGGTGTCAGGATAGACATTAGGGAAGGCTGAGGAAGTAACATTTGGACAGAGTTGTGAAAGATGGGGATGGGGAGGAAGCTACACCTTGGGCCCTGTGGGGGGCACCCCAAGGGAAGGAGACCCCTGGGGGAATGTGTGAGTAGCATGGCAGAGATGAGGCTGAACCAATCACTGGCAATTTCACATAAGTTATTAATAAGCTTCATCCAGCGAAGCCTTTGACTTAAATAGTAACATTTTATAAGTATGTAATAAGAACAAAATTAAACCTTCTATGAAATAAGATTTATTGAAAGAAATTTCTCTTGATCTATTTCACTGATTTCTTTGAAAAGCTGCTCTCTAATTTATGTGAAAGGAAAAAAATATATATAGTCTGGCAGAAGTAACACCTGCTTGAGTATGGTTGGTAGGGTAATAACATGGGTATAATAATTTAGTTTTACTTCGAACATTTCACCTAAAATGTCACATAGTGTGCTTGAGTGTGATATTGTTATGTTATAGAATTACATGCTTATGATTTTGTAATATAAGATTTTGTAATAAAAAGGGGCATTATTTGTGTTGGACTCTGTATACACACACATACACACACATATACACATATAAATATAGTTATGTGTAGCTACATAGTAACATCCAAGAAAGATAACAGAAAACGAATGCATTACAATGTATGATAAATTACAAGGAGAAGTGGACTTGAGGTTGATAATGACCTTGGATAGAAGCTCATTGCTAATTGTAGTAATCTTAAGCAATTCATGTACTTAGGTTTTTCTCTGTGCTGGGCACTGTGCTACAGTGAGCTACCCGATGTCCTCCTCATCATTATTATCATGTCCACTGTGCGGAAGTTGAGACAGAGGCTTAGAAAAGTTAAGTAGCATGCCCTATTTTACACAGGTCATAAATAACAAAGTTGGCATTTTAATTCTAGCAACTAGCTTCCGAGTCTGCCCTCTTAAACCCATAGTGTCATCTGCTCTGCCCAACCTTGAGAGTAGTTGTAAAGTCCTTCATAAAAACCCTGCAAGATCCCACAGCAACAGAAAAGGCCACCGGGACTAATGTCACTGCTTTCCTGCCATGAAACCCCAGTCCTTTCAGGTTCATCCCGCTTCATCGGAACCAGCCAGCTGGGACTTCAGAAGAGCTTTACAGCAGCGCACTTCACCTGGACCCGGGGGCCCACAGGTCCCCTGAAATCGTTTGCAAAGTATTCTGTGTGTGTGCAGCACATGTGCGTGTTTCTTGAGGTTGGTTACCTGAAATGTTTATGAACTTCTAGGAACAGGAAGCTTCTCACTAAATTGTGATTCGGTGAGGTTGATTTAGAGTGATAGAAGACTGGGAGTTCACTAGAGATTATTAATTCAATCTGTTCCCACACAGGAATCACCTAATCATGAAATATGTCAGGTAGGCCCAGAAAAAGAGTCCAGTGGTCAAGCCACAGCTGGGCTCCTGTAAATATTACCTCTGATTACTCACTTTCTGAAAAACATGCTTACTCCTCTATATAAATTTGTTCATTTAGGAGTTAAGTAACCTTGCAGGAAAAAAGAGTCTAAAACACAAAGGTCTCTGAACTATCTTATCCCTCAAAGTCTGCACAGTCTGTGCCAATGTATATTAAGATTGCTTTAACAGAACTGCCAGCAAGATGCATATTCCCTTTTGTACTGGTTTTTCACAAGTGGTATTTCACATAAGCATATCCCTGTGTTGGCATGGCCCACACTCCTGTGATTTTAATAACCTGATGGTATTCCATCCTGTTAGTATATCTTGAATGCACTTAAGTAACAAAAAAAGAGAAAGAAATCTTTCATTTTAGATCCTCAACCCCTTGATTTTCCATTTAAGCTTTTAAAAACTTGATATAGAAAATACTAACGATGGTTTCAGAACATGGGCTTGGGAAGTCAACAGACCTGTATTTGAATCCCCTATCTACCGCTTACAAACTCTATGACCTTGAGCAAGTCACTTAAGCTCTCTGAGGCCCAGTTCCCGCATTGTTAAACTAGGATAATAGCAATATCTCTCTTCAAATTGTTGCAAGATTAAGCAATAAAATATGCTTAAAGTGCTTTGCCAAGTGCTCAGTCCATGCTACAAGCTTGGTAAGTCATAGCTGTGGGCATAATAGAGAGAAAATAGAGAACAGGACCTATCCAGAAAATTTTCTTTAAGAGGGGTGAAAAACCTGGCTGGTGTGGTTCAGTGGATTGAGCACTGGCTTGTGAACCAAAGAGTCACAGGTGCAATTCCCAGCCAGGGCACATGCCTGGGTTGTGGGCCAGGTCCCCAGGTGGGGGCACATGAAACACAACCACACACTGATGTTTCTTCCCCCCCTTTCTCTCACTCTTCCTCTCTGTCTAAAAATAAATAAAATCTTTTAAAAAAAGAGTGACTATAAATTGGTTAATTACTGTAACTCAAGTTAAAAAAAAGGGGTGAAAAAGAGTATTTTCCCAAGGTCATAAAAAAGGAAACCTGAGGAAATAAGGAATACTTCAATTAGCCACATGTTGCTATCAATTTACTTGCTAATTCAGAGTTTGGGTGTCTGAAACATTTTCAGTCCTAAAATAAGATGGCCACTTGGGGCTGGTGAATGGGAGCAAATACAGCCAGAGAATAAATACACCCTGCGTGTCCCTGGCGCGGCACAACTGTTCAGTGTCACCATTCCTCACCTCCCAGCAACACAAGTCCTTTAAAGACAAGTCTGCCTGATCCGACTGGGTGCTAGAATGTGCAGACAACGCAAGACCACAGCATGTCTCTTTTGTCTAACTTGTTCACTTTAAAGATCAGAAAACAGGAGTTCAAGCAAGTGAGATGAATTTCCAAGGCTGCATAACTCCTAAAGGGCAGAACTGGTAGAGCACTCAGTCCCTTCTAACCACCAGCCCAGGGATTTTCTGATGGGTCATTTGTGTTCCGCCTTCATGGTACTTATTTAACAGTGGACCTCCTATACTACGATTCACTTAAGTTTTAATTATCTTTTTTTTGCTAAAAATAAATGTAAAAAGAAATTTTATTTACTATTCGTAGAAAAACCAGTAGTACTTAACATAAGTAAAAGATAGTCATAAAAATAAAGAGAAGAACAATGATATTGTACTCCACTAAAATATAAAATAATATATCAAAGGACTACAGTCTGAGGTGGAGACTCTCTTCCGAGAGAGAGAGAGAGAGAGAGAGAGAGAGAGAGAGAGAGAGAGCGCGCGACACTAGCAAGAGTTCAAGTGAGGCTGAATAAGGGTCACCAAACTAAGATTCCATCAAATGAAAAAGCCATCGAACCTTTTTCTCTGAGGACAGAACAAGAAGGAAAGGGGGATGACCGCGCTGGCGTGGAACCAGGGCTGTGACCTGGGGAAACACCGTCCGTCTGCTCCGTCCTGCTCGTTTTGCTCTGCAGTATCCCCTACTCTACCTTCTAATGGTCACTCACCTTGGGAATGGTCCCAGGAGGCCTTGCATTTTGAGGTCAGTTCTAAGCTCCAACAAAGCCATCTACTTTTTTCTTCCTTTTATAATCTTGAAGCTCTAATCAAACCCTCACAGCCTGCACAGTTAAGCTGTTCAGTCTTGTTTGCAACTAATCTTAGTTTTAGGTTAGCTTTGTGTATATGCATTATCCTATTCAATCTTCAACAATACCTTTTTTAAGTGGGCACTACTGTAATCCCCATTTTACAAATGAGGAAATTGAGGCATGAAGAAATTACTAAACTTGTCCAAGTCCTTAGTTGGCAACTTGGAGATACCTGCTTCCATAAGTTAATGCTCTTAACCATTGTGACATACTACTTTCCAGCCTCACTTCTGTTTATTTGATTTGCTTCAGAAATATTTACTGTTTCTTATGATCCCATCAATGAGCTCAATATAATAAGAGCAAGCAAAGTAGAATATACTTCAGTCCTTGACCTTGAGCTTTCCATGTCACT